CCCCCCCCCTCCTCCCTCGCTCTTGCCACTCCGAGTAATATACCACTGAAATCAATACCACCACACTGCCTTCTCTATTTACCCAAGCTCATCATCCGTACACAAATTTATTGCGTGTCCCTAGCAGCTCGAAACATCCCTCTCGAGGATATCTGGCGCGGCCAGATTGCGATTTCGTCCTGGTCCGGTTAATGTCACGCGGTCCATTTAACGCGTTCCTTCTCCGGCAAATCCGTCTGGGCTATCTTTCTCAAAAAGTACCTTATCGATTATCCCGTCCGGTTGTTTGTTCTCGTATCTTTCAAAAATGTTGGCCCTCGGAAGATTGAGCCAAACGCATTTTGGCGGTCCTCCTCACGGCGCAAAATTTTTCTTCTCGAATAAAAATCGAGCCACAAATAAAAACAACTTGGTAATCTTGGTAAATAACCTGTGATTAACTTGGCGATCTAAAACGAAGAAAAAAATCTATCTGTTTCGAGTCTTTTGAATACATCCGCGATATTTTTTAATATTTGTATTTTAAATACAAATCCGTAGATACGTCTAAAAAAGGAAAAAAGAAAAATACACATAGATTTTAAGTTTTTCAAATGAAGCTCCGAGCTTTTCTCGCTAATCTACGATTTCAATTTTCCTCAAACCGCGCGGACAATTTTCTCCTGTGCGGCAGTCGAATGTAATTTATGCATGCGCTGGGACGTCGGATAAGATCACGTTAGGCGGCCGGTGCGGTAGTTAGCGGGGGGGAATTTTTTAAATATCCGCCAGAGGTGAATTACTTAAAACGGTCGCGACGCGCACAGGTGGTTTCGCGCGTCCGTATATACGCGGATCACCCGCACAAAACTCCACTCCGTGCACATACGCGTACAAAGTGCACACGCGGTGTGCATTCGATGGGACGTTGTACGGTACGATAATATTACGTCATTAGGCGGGCAATGCTACTATCGCGTGCCCTGCTTTCAGCTCGTTATGCGCCACGTTCTGAGAGCCGGGAGGACGGAGCGAGGCGGGGGCGGGCCTCCGCTCCTGCACCGTGAGTGAAAGATAACCGATAAGTAGTGTTACGAGATAAATGCCACATAAATTAGCCGTATACGCGATATACGTTGCGCTACGGCCACATACAGTATGGATGCAAAATTGCAGGGACGGTAACGGGCTTGTTATAGATATAGCTTGGTATAAGATAAACGTACGCGATAGCTGCAAATTGTTTCACGAATGAGAAATGTATACAGGTAATTGTGTAATAACACTTTCTTCCTAATTACACTTGCACGCTGCAAGTCGAGTCGAATTCGGATTACGGAGCGCCGGAGACTCGACCGAATTATAACTGAATAAACGCAGTCTTTTTCGAATATTTTAGTAATTAATTATCAAGCGTTAATTGAGCGTAAACGTTCCGACTTCGGAGTCGGATTACGCATTTATGGGCTCACGTCGATACACCGTGCGCCGGAGCTTATTGCCCCCCAGGCGTAGTTCGTACCGTTAATTTATTGTTCGAGCACAATCGGAGCATCGCGTGTGAGCGAGGCATCGAGATTAATAATCCATCTCGGAGGGTGCATCCGTCAGTAGGACACGCGAGAATGTGGGTCGAGTTGCACGTCTACTTGGATGGGAGGTGCATCAAAAGCTCGGCCATGTAGACTGATTGCTCGCGCACATGGATCGTATCATCGTCTCACGTGTCTTTTCGACTTTTTCAGGAAAGCGACGCTGAAAAGAGCGACCAGGACCTGGTCGTCGATGTGGCGAACGAGGTAAGAATGTCATTAAAAAAGCGTCATTTATCTATTAATTTTTAAAAAATATATATATAATACATCTATATCTATTTATGTAATATCACATTTATTTACACGTGATTACAATTATCTTTTATAATTATACCTTGCATGCGAGTTTTGAAACTTTGCAACTTGTTTAATGTCAATTAAAACTAATGTTGTTGTCGGGGGGAGGGGGGGGGAGGGAAAAAAAAGAACGACGCGAAATGATTTTGTTCCAAGCTTGTACATATTATACTTTTAGAAAATAAAAATCTGTTAAAAAAAAAAAAATCTTATTAAGAAATCTATTTTGATTGTTAAGAAAACGAGAGAAAAAGTTTTTGCGGATAAAGATACATTGCCGAATGAAAAAAAAAAAAGAAAAGAAAAAAAAAAGACTGGTGCTAATCGCATGCTATATCTTAAGTAGGATATTGCGTGTGTTCGTTTAACGAAATCCTGATATTTGCGTATCGCGAAAGGAGGCGTCGTCGCCGCACGCGAACGGGGAGCACTCGGACCCACGTGAAAACGGCACCCTGGAGAAGCTGGGCGCACCGGGCCACGTTGGCGGACCGGTATCCGGCGCGGGCTCGGCATCCGTTAAGGACAGGCCGCCGTCGCGCAGCGGCAGCTCCTCCGCCCGTAGTACACCGTCTCTGAAAAGTAAAGATGTAAGATCTCGCGGAGAGTAAGCTTATTCGGCGCTGCGACCCGGCCCAGTCGTAACTCTGTCGCCTCCATACATGTACCGAAAACCCTCTCGCGGAGCGAGCTTAAAAAGTCGATCTCTTCTATGTGCGTGGTTACCTGTAGGGTCGTCAGACGTTTCTTTCTTCTTTACGAATTCTCACTCACCTTTGTGTATCTGTTTTACTTTACGTATTTATTTGAAGGACAGAAGACGGTGAGGCCGAAGAGGCAAGTAGTATTGCAAAACTGTGCGACTGTTGAAATAATTGTTGGAAGCGTCTTTAATCGAGCGCAATTCGTTGTACGTATTCGAGTGATGCCGTTTTCTGTAAAGTGAACCGATTCTTTAAAATCTTTTCGAAAAACCACGATTTTTTCCATAATCGACGAAGGGGAATATGAATCGATTCTAAAGAATCGAGTTAAATTAAACCCATTATTATTAATAACTGTATATTAAATAGATATTGTTTTACATACAAAGTTGGAAGTGTATGTGCTCGTAACGTGTAAAGTTCTAAATAATCAGAGAACCGCGACCGGCACGGACTATGGGCGCATTCAATAACCCAGTACCACAATCGCTCACTGAGCGCTCAGTGAGCAGTTGTAGTACTTGAATGCACCCTACGAAATTCTCCAATCATCCATTCGGCAGCCATTTGTAATACTAATGAATTTGTTTCATAATTCACCATTATACAAGTATATACTAATGAATTTGTTTCACCATTCACCATTATATATTACGTGTGATCAATTATATATTATTATTTTATCCTTTATCACTTAACTTAATTCAGTAAACAACAAGGATAAAATAAGTGGGGATCACTTGGCTGAAATTTTTTAAACACAGTTCTCCCAAATAAAACACGGAAGTCATAATATCACAAGAACGTCACCATGACTTTATTTATCACTTGTAAGTTTATTTTTAAGTATCAAATTACGTCACGATGACGTTCCATGATATTACGATTTAAATTATGACTGTATTTTATCTGAGTTATCCTACTCGTTGAGCGATTGAACGTAAAGACCAGAACACAGACCATTGTACAATATAACGCGTAATACATAAAAGAATATAAAAGAAGTAAAAGAATTGACCAATCAACGTCTTTCTTTTCTATGAAATCAGAAGGATTCTGATAAATCAATCGGAATCAAACGAATCGGGTCTGTGCTCTGACCTTAATTGATTGGATCTGTAGATAAAAATCAATTATATTTAATTGTTTGGCATTTAAATTATCTCCTCGATGCAAGCCGGAAAAAAATCGATTAAACAACGAATTCAATAATCGGCTGGCAATTCGATTTTTTATTACGAGAAGTACATCGACTATAACTCTCGTTGAAGAATCGAAGAAGAATTTGGCATCTGGGCACGTATTATAAAATTATTCGAGAGACGGTCGGATCCGATCGGAATTATTCAATTATTCCCTAGATTTCTATTGTGTCTTCTAGAGAAAACGAAATAACTCCGATCGGAATCCATTTCGAACATTTCCATAATACGTGCCCTGAGTACAGCGCAATTTCTGCTCGACGCAGGCTCTTGCGTTTGACGGCCCTAATCATATCGTAACATTTCCGCGACAACGCGGTACTGCTTTTTTTTTATTTACCCGATCGATCGTCTCGAGGCAGCGGCTCTCTGCCGCCGCGTGCGAAACGAAACGAAAAGGAGAGATATATCGCGGCTGGCATGGTCAGCGAATTTGCAATCGGCATGGTCGAGAGCTTAGTACGATTGCGACACAGTGAGCGTCTGCAAAAGTGGGTGCAAACACCGTGCGTTCGCCAGGTCGACAAGCCGGGTACACCTGTGGCGGCGGCGAGGGGCTCGCGCAGTTGTACGCCAACTATGGGCGGCATCCCTGGGTCCTTGGCGCGGGTCTATCATCCGCCATCGTCGCAGCAAACGCCACCGCAGGGTTATCAGGGCTTGCCATCCCGCGGCAATGAGCCGCCGCAGTCGCCCTCGCCATACAGCAACTTGCCATACGCGCGGCCCTCCATGGTGATTCACGACCCCGTAACACCTTAGTCCTTACGTTACCACGCTTTCATTAATTCATTAATATAGTTTTACATGCGACTGAAAAAAAAAAAAAAAAAAATACAAATTCATTTTGGACCGCAACCGTTTATACTACTATTAATTTCTTTCAACCCTACGAGGACTTCTATGAAACGTTCCATAGGCGTTCCCTTCGATTGTCTACATGGATACAGTAAAGCTATCTAGATCGAATCTGATGAAATCTAAACTTAGCCTATATCGAATCAGATCGGAAAGGTCAAACTGGCAGAGGTCCTCTTAGGGTTCAAAACGCGATCAATCTCGTGTTAGACTCGCGTAAGAATCATCCAAATCGACGATGACCGTTTCCTAAGGCCATTTATTTCGTATTTTTGTGCTATAAACAAACGCGCCTTTATTTTTTTTCTCATCTCTGTGCGTCACAATACTGAGCGATCATCTCTTCCGCAGATCGGTTTCGACGGTCACATGAGGATACCCGCGAGTAACGGATTGAACAACATCGCAGGTGGCAAACCGTACGTAATTATAATTTACGTGGAGAAAAAAAAAAGTCGTCTTGGATCTTTTTTTAACAAGGAAATCTTGTAAAATGTCAAATTCTAATTTTAATGAAATCCTTGTATACGTATAAATTACATAAATAGATGAGTTTAGAAAATATCAATTGCGGTTTTAAGGGGTGAAATCATCTCTTGTATAAAGTAAGGCAATAAAATAAGTGATTTAAAAAATTAATTTTTTTTTTTTAATCATAGGAGTATAGAACATTTTTTGATATCTTGAAAAGTTCTCGATATATAACGAAAAAAGCTGAAAACTCTTTATATCTTTAGTTCAGTAGAACATATTTCAATTTTTCTACAATCAATTATTGCGCAGAAATTGTATTCGACAATTAATTTATTAGAAAATTTTAAAGATTCCAAATATTCAGATTTATTTTCTGAAAAACTTTCTGTTTTGAGTTATCGCAGCAAATTATAGCGAGGATTGATTTCACCCCTTAAAATCGTTTATTAGTCCCAACTGATATTTTCTACTATATAAATTCATTCTATTTATGTGTACAAAGTTTTTATTAAAATGAAAATTTGACGTCTTGCGAAGTTCCCTTGTAAGTCACTTCTCACCCTCGCGATAAGAGCGTTAAACATTTGCGTTTATTTCGCGCAGGGCGTACTCCTACCATATGAACGGCGAGGGCCAACTGCAGCCTGTACCATTCCCCACGGACGCTCTGGTAGGACCGGGTATCCCGCGTCACGCACGTCAGATTAACACCCTGACACACGGCGAAGTGGTTTGTGCCGTTACGATCTCGAATCCGACCAAGTACGTCTACACCGGCGGCAAAGGTTGCGTCAAGGTCTGGGATATCGGCCAAAGTGTCGGCAGCGCCAGCGTGAAACCAGTTTCGCAGCTGGACTGTTTGCAACGTGACAATTACATTAGGTGAGAGCTCTGAGTGATTGGTATCTCGCTGTTACGTATCTAAACGTTCCGTTGATCTTTAGATACTTTCGCGAAAAGGATTACGTGCACGATTTGATCTCGTAAAGTAGGTAGCGAATAAAGTCACACATTTCTTCTGGTAGATGACTAATAATTTCACTTTAAAGAAACAGAGACGAGATTGTTGTTTGGAGTTATTACAGCACATAAATCAGAGTTTTTCAATGTAAAGGGTTACACTAAGTGTACTGCGAAATTTTTAAGGAACTAAAAAGAGGCAAGAAATTTACAAAAAGAAATAAAACGCGAGTAACGCGCTAGGTAAAAAGTCTTTTAAAAATTGACAAAAATTATCTTAATTATATTGTGTTTACTTTCATTTTAACCAAAGCAGTATCGTCTCATTGCAATATATAATTTTTAAAATAAAATATAAAAATACAAACTTTAGAACTTCTATTTATTTCTGAATGTTGCGTTGGCGACGTCTAATAAAAGATCTATGCTGAGCGTTGAAATATGTGCTAATGATGTACCTGGATAAATTTGGCTCGTTATTTAGTGTGTATCACGGAGAAGGTTGAAAAACGCTGACATAGATTAAAGTGACTATATTTATCAAAATAAAATTTCTTAACGGTAAAACTAATTAAGCGGAAGACATTCGGCGAAATCGGCGTGTGTTTTACCTTCTAGATCCGTGAAACTTCTGCCTGATGGGAGAACCTTGATAGTCGGCGGAGAGGCCAGCCAACTGAGCATTTGGGACCTAGCTAGTCCCACGCCCAGAATTAAAGCGGAATTAACTTCGTCAGCGCCTGCGTGTTACGCCCTAGCGATCTCGCCGGACTCGAAAGTCTGCTTCAGTTGCTGTAGCGACGGTAATATCGCCGTGTGGGACTTACAGAATCAGTCGTTGGTCAGGCAATTCCAAGGTCACACGGACGGCGCGTCCTGCATCGACATCTCGGCTGATGGATCAAAATTGTGGACCGGCGGTCTCGACAATACCGTGCGTTCCTGGGACCTTCGCGAGGGTAGGCAGTTGCAGCAGCACGATTTCACCTCGCAGATATTTTCCCTCGGTTACTGCCCCACCGGCGAGTGGCTGGCCGTCGGAATGGAGAACTCGAACGTCGAGGTACTCCATGCTACCAAGTCCGACAAGTACCAGCTGCATCTGCACGACTCCTGCGTGCTCTCGCTGCGTTTCGCCTCCTGCGGCAAGTGGTTCGTCTCGACTGGCAAGGACAATCTGCTGAATGCGTGGCGTACGCCATACGGTGCTTCAATATTTCAGGCAAGTATTTATATGTAGACACTAATTGACGGGATAATTTATATTCTTTGCCCCAATTTTTTGTGTTCGTTTGGCATCCAGCCACGACCTAAAACTTAGCGTTCGTGTAAAACGGGATGTATGTGTATTGGATATATGTATCTATATATTGAACTTTCTTTTGGGCTAAACTATGTCTTTTGTATTTTATTAATTTTTTTTTAAATTTGTTGAACTCAATTTGGTTAAAAGTAAACCAATTTTTAAGAGAGAAAACTTTTTTCAAAATGACAAAATTAATATAAATTAATATAAAATTGAATACGAAAAAATTTATATAAAATTGAAATTGACGTTCTCGTAAGTTATTTTGCCAATATTTTTGTTAAATTTTGCAGTCCAAGGAGTCGTCGTCGGTGCTGAGCTGCGACATTTCCGCAGACGACAAGTACATTGTGACCGGATCCGGCGATAAGAAGGCCACTGTATACGAAGTGATTTACTAAGCCTATTCCTAATAAAGAGACTTGCCTTTCCTCCTTTAATAACATTAAAATCATGAACTTTGTTAATGTGTATTCTATCCTTTCGCGAGAAAGGAAGGCGCGAAGAGATCCCGAAAGTAGGGAAACTCTCGGCGGCCTTAGAGCCAGTGTGGCTGATAAATGTGTACATATGCGCATACGCGAAATTGTATTGTAACGAAATTACAAATAGAAGGATGAAAAATCGATGTGTGTGCGCGCGTGTTTATGAATGAGCGGGATCAACGATGTATATTAATCTTGCACGTGCGCGTCCCGATTTCGCGAATGCGCGTCCCGATTCTCCGCCGATTTACAGTACATACGCGTAATATCTGCGCGCGGACGGGACTCCTATCTGTCACGTGTATACAACGAGCGTACGCGTTGACGATGGAACGACGTTCCATCCAACCGGAACAGTTCGCATACGCACTAAAGTAAATGAGAAGAGCCTTCGCAAACGGTGATGTTAGATATATAAGGTGATTCTTGATTGCACGCCGATACTGTCGGGAAACAAGTTTAAGAGTCTAGAACAAGGCAAAAATGCTAAATGAGTTTAAGTCATTTAGCTTTTAGTCACTTAGCTCTCCTCAATGGTAATAAATTTTAAAAAAGATATCTCCAAGCGCTATATGGCTCGATTTATTATCAGGATTGGTAAAGTCACGTTTTGGTTGGTAAAACATGTTTCAAACTTTTTAAAATATGCTTAATCGACATGTTTTAACATATTTTGTTATAATACTGTTTAAAACATGAATGGAACATTAAAAACATATTTTGAAAAAATGTTTTTTTTAAAAAAAAAAACATTTTTTTGTCAACCTTGTTTATTATCTTTCCAAAACATTATAATAAAGTGTTTCTTTATTAAATACTAAAGTGAATGTTGGAGCTTAAAGTCAATGGGATAACTCATTAGCTTAAAACAATTAAGATAAGTTTGAGATGAAGAAAAGATGAGCTTGAGGATATCATCATCTTCTTCATTTCGAACTTTATTGCTTAATCTTTTCAAAGTCAACCAAGGTCATCTTCTTTCCCTTTAACAACTGAGCAACTTTTATTCGAAATATTGTTGTCTTAAACTTAAATATTTTGAAATATCCTGATGTATAGATCGAAATAAAATTGTATATTACAAATTTTTTTAGAAATATCACAGCGGAAGGTGTGCATTTCTCTAATTCGTACACTTTTTTTTTAAATTCTAGATCTCTCTAAAGTATCAACGAACAGTTTAGATTCACCTTGTATATGATCTTGTAGTTACGTAAATGTAGGATTATAACGCGCCTAAAGTGGATGGCCGATAAAGTGTGTGGTACGGCATCAAGATTAGCCTGGCCTACTCACCGAAAAATCGCATTACGCTTTTTAGTAAACAGATATGTGATCGTCGAGACATCATTTTAAATTTCTGCGACCGCTGTATCTTCAAACGAATCATATTTCCTTCCTATTACCCTCCAGTATAAAGGTGCAAAGAAGTTTAATGCCTGTTTCCACTCTAATGTAGATTAACCTTAATTCTCAGAACTAGAGAAAGATGAAAAGTAAGTTGAACCGATATTAAAGTTCATCTAATTTGGTGGAAACAGACGCAAGAGATGTTTAAGTGGCATTTAAAAGTGTAGGACGTTTTCTTGTTTCTGCGTTCTTATGACGTTTTTTTAGAGGCTTGATTGACGCAGATTTTTATTATTGAAATATTCGTTATTGACGTAAAAAGCTAATTCGTTATAAATAATCGCGCAAATCTTTAGATTTTTAATTTAAGTTCGATAATTTCTAATTTTGATGAAGAAAAATTACGCTATATTGAATAGTGATTTGCCGAGCGAGACGATGGCACGTCGAGCGAGCTTCGCGAATCGTCTCCTGATCCTGTCGATGTCAGTATCAGTGTCACGATGCCTGTCGCTGTTTATACAGCTCTCGCGGTATAAACTAGTTTATGAACGAATACCTTTTTGCATCGTAAATATAGTATGATATTTATGTGTAATAATCGAATTTCTACGTGATATAGCGCGTATGCGTGACGACGAATGGTAAATACGAATCCCTGTACAGAATCCTTGTACATATTCGACGATTGTGATTACAATTATAACAAGACGCACGGTGTACGTCGATGTACGGCGTGCACCCGAACTCTTTAAGGTCGTGTTTCGATATACATTGCTGATACTGAAAATCTATAGTATACGAATGAACTATAAATTTTCAGTATTGGAAGTGTATATCGGAATACGGCCTATAAATATACCTATGTAAAGTACAATCCCCCGTGCACAATCGAAACAAAACTATTTCTCTACTTTAATTAGGTGACACTCGACACGCGGAGATCAATAGAAGCGGTGAACTTTGTCGCGACGTTTAATATTAGTTAAAAATATCGACTAATTATTCTTTAATAAATCGACGTGCAGAATTGATGATGTCTTTATGTTAAAGAAAAAAAATGATTAATCTATGATAATTGAGGCGCTTAGTCCGATTGTAAAGTATAATAAAACACAGTTTTGTAAAAATTTATGCCTTCGATTGATCTTCGCTCGAAAATTAGCCGAATGAAATTCTCGACAGACAGACGAGCGCGAATTGTAATGCATTACCGAAATGAGTAATTTCGTAAAATTATACGGCCCTTTATTATATTCTTGACGTATATCAAACCCGAATGAACTTTGAGAAAAAACAGGTGATTACTTTATTTGAGCTTGGTCGCGATGAAAATGATTCTCGCGATTCTCGTCTTGCTGGCGAACACAATAAAACTGAAAGGTTTGATTAATGCATTATATGTAGAGAAAGATACGTCATGTAATTAATGATGACGTATCCACAAATTTCTTGAAAAAATAAATAAGAATCTATTCCATTTTTCCCCGTCGCATTTTTAGCAATAATAACATATGACAAATTTTAATACTATGATTTTCTTTGTTGTTCTCGCATCAAGAAGATTAGATTTTCCCAATATTCTCTCTCTCTCTCTCTCTCTCTCTCTCTCTCTCCCTCCCTCTCTCAGTGTGTGACAAAGGAAAATAAATTTGTTTTTCGCAATGAATTTTACGCGCTTTCTTGGAACATACCGTTGGAATTCGCATGACAAATCCAGTTACTCGGCTTCTCATGCGATAAAATATAAATAATAATTTACAGGGGCATTTTGATAAGTCAGTTTTAAAAGAAGACTACTGAAGAAATAAATTGAATTTTAGTAAAAGAAGAAGTAAAAAATTCACCGATTTATCAAACTGCTTACGTAATTAGAGATCATTGCAAGTGAAATATTTTTTATTAAGACATAGATGCGATTGCGGTTTTTTTTTTTTAATAAATGTTATGAATCGGTATTCATAGTCAATTCTTATTTTAAGACCATTTTAAGTATAGTCTTAAAATATCATAAACTAATTACTGAGCCATATAACATTTTAAGATCTTAAGTAATGTCTTAAGATACTAATAAAGCTCCATGATCAGTTTATCACAGAGAAGACTGTACTTACAATGGTTTTAAATATAAGAATGGTTACATACCCGTAAAACGCAAAATAATAATGCAACTTAAAAAATGAGGTAAAGAGAGAAAGTATATACGTTCACTGCCGCTAATATTGCAGCGAAATAATTTATTATTAATAACTGCTATTGATGCAATATATCTATATCTTAAAGAATAAGAGACTCGAAAGAAGGAGAAAGTAAGTATAAGACATCACAAGTTTGCTTTCGATAATTTTCGATGTATTTACATTTTACGTGTAATCCGTGTGTACAAGATCGTTAAAAACATTAAATGTTTATACTCGCATTATGATAATCTATCCATGTATTTACATGTTCTTCCGTGTGTACAAGATCGTTAAAAACATTAATGTTTACAGGTTTGTTTTCCTCTTTTTTTTACCTTCTTTTTTTCTCGTAGACTGCATGCTCACATGCCCCATATTCCGCGCTCTCTCGTTCTCTCTTTTTCTCGTCGGATTATCTTTTTTTTTAATACTCTCTGTCGTATCGCCGTTGCTTATATACAAGTAAAAAAATTCTAATAACGTTATCGTTACGCGCCAGAGGTTATACGTATCCATTTTTCATACAAATCGTTCGTGTGAACATTTAGACACGCTCTGGGTTTCTCTTTTTTTTTATCCGATCAGCGATACGATTTCGCACTAGTGCTTTCGAGATAAAATCAAGATCGAGAGTGGAGGCGTAGGGGATGCTAAAAACTATATATTTTATATATAT